GCAAATTTATGATGGACTTTTAGGTTAGGCATACAACTGTAGCTGATCTTAATAGAATTTCAATTGAACATGTAGCTTGTGGCCAGCTAGGAAATGTAAGTCAATTAGGGCTAGATAACAGTTTTCTAATTTTGTTTTGACATTAATGCTGAATAGAGGGTTGTATTAAATGATATTACATTTTTGATGTTTTTTTTGTTGATTTTGATCTTGGATTAATTGTGGTTAATAGGTAAATTTTGTCTTGTATGCCAAATTTTTTAGTTTCTTCATACGGTAGCTTATTTAAAGACAGTTTCATTAATTGACATGGAAGATAATCTTTGTTCAATATTGTGAGGGATAGCTTTTATTACATTTGGAGGGTGGCTAGAATTAGAGTGGATGTACCTTAATTGATTATCAGGCTTACAATATGGTTGAAATGTATTGTTATTCAAATTTGCTGACCATATTTGTTTTTAAATACAGCAAGACGGTCATCATGATATAAGCTGAAATCTTCTTTGCTATAATGCTGTGATATAGTATGAAAATACTTTTTAACTTCAGCACCATCAAATGCCCTCATTGTGACAACAATCTCCTTCTTTTTTTAATTCATGCTTCAAAGATAAGGGATTTTCTTACTTTATCAATCCTATGTCTTCACTTTTGATAACAATATGATGATCAGTATAGCTTATAGCATTGTTAAGAATTCATTTATGGAAGAGTAAAAGTCGTAAAAACTAAAAATTTGTAAAAGTAGAAACTTGTATTTCTTATTATTAAAAACTAGAAATTTGTATTTCTTATTATTTATAAATATATAGACCTTTTATTTAATAATATTGAGCACTGTAACACGTACAAGAGCCTTAAAATTATTACATCAAAATATTTAACCTCAAAATATATTTTACATATCTAATATCAATATCTATACAAATCTCTCTCTCTCTCTCTCTCTCTCTCTCTCTCTCTCTCTCTCTCTCTCTCTCTCTCTCTCTCTCTCTATATATATATATATATATATATATATATATATATATATATATATATATATATATATATCAGACTTGGTCAGGAAGCGGGAGCGATCGCTCTAGAATACTGACCACGGAAATTATATTTAGTTGCGAAAAACTGGCCAGGTTTTTTAGTCGTTTTTTTTTACGGACATACATGGAAACATAAAAAACTTAAAACATCTTGGTGAAACCCGCCAAATTAACGAACAAACTAATTCTATTGGTTCAAAAAATACACTGATTAAGCGAAATAAAACTTTGGAGCATTTTGTTGAAATGTTTTAGAAATTATATTATTCACGATTTGTTACGTTTCAGATTTCTAGCATAAATCGTTTTAAGAATATATATTAATTGTTTACAAAAATAAATGTTTTAAATATATATTAATTAAATTGTCAAAATTTGAAAAGTTTATTATAAATTATGGATTTTATTAGTACATTCTTATTTTTATTTAAAAAGTATGCATTCTTTATATAAATGTAATTTTATTGATCTGTTTTTTATCGTAATGTATCTTTTAAAGCAATTTTTATGATTTAAACAAAGACTTACAAAAATAATTGCGTTTTCAATAAAGTTATAATCGTTTAAGTTAATAAAACTAATCATGTAACACATATAAGAAGTTTCTGGTTACTAAACACAAACAACGCATACAAAGTAACTCGCGGATGAACAAGCACCGTGCCTGAGGTCACGACAGAACACAAATATATATAGCAAATAATTAGATATATTAAAAAAGTTTCTAGATATTGGTTTACTAACTCTAATTATTTTCGCTTCATTTGCCATTCTTAAAAACTTGTTACACTTTTTTCTGCTTTAATTACTAATTAAAAAGCCCACTCACTAAACATCATCAGCGATATTGTGAAGCAGTTTTGCTTCCTTGTCATATTTTTAACCTTTTTAGTTGATTTCTATCTTGTTAATTTAATGTCTATAGTAATTCAATGATTTAATTATTTCATTTGTTTATCTTACTAAAAAGAATTGCTTCAAATATGTTAAACTTTTCAAACTACGCGAAACATAAAATAGGTATTAATAAAAATTAGCTTTTTTATTTATAAAATAATTTAGTTTAAATAAAACTAAAACTTGCAAACTTTGTTTAATAAAGAATATTTGTTTCCTTTTTAAACAATCATAAGATGTTACTTTACATAAAAAACATCGCTTAATTTTATAAAATTTTTTTTGTAATTGTCTCTCATCGGTCCAATTAATCTTGAGCGCTTCTTTTTTTTGCTTGTTAAAATGTTCTCAAAAACGACTAAAAAATCTGGCCAGCTTTTCGCAACTAAATATTATTTATGTGGTCAGCAATCGAGAGCGATCGCTCCCGCTTCCCGACCAAGCCTGATATATATATATATATATATATATATATATATATATATATATATATATATATATATATATATATATATATTAGGGTGGTTCAGATTAAGGTGAACATTTTTTTAAAACTAGAGTGGAAGCTTATACAGGGTGGTCACTCAAATTTGAAAATGAAATTCCATGACTTTTCCATGACTCTTCTTAAACTTTTATGATAAACTACTAACCAGTAAATAGTTCAGTACTTGCACTAAGCATTTGGTAGAAAGTTCTGAAATCATGTCTGAAAAAACATTTTTTCTTTTACTTTTCTGATAACCTATATCTTGCAAAAAAATATTTTTCAAAAAGGACTTTGACTAGACATACTATAACTTTTCTTTGCATCCTAAAAGTATCACAAAAAGAAAAAAATAAAGATCATTTTAAAAAGTTCCATGAATTTTTAGGAATTTAATTTTAGGAATTAAATTTAGGAATTTTCCATGATTTTCAATAAAAATTTAGGAATTCTATAACTTTTTCCATGACCAAATAAAATTCAATGACATTTCTATGATTTCCATAACCAGTGGCAATGACAAGGTGCGAAGACCCTTGTTTTATATGTAAGATTTTTTTTTAGATTTAAAAAAAGTTTAAAGGTGGCACACGGCCTAAAAGCACTTATTTTTTACTTTTTTTGAAATTTTTTGACCCATGTGCGCCACCCTTCAATATTATCAAATTAAATTTTTTTTTCTATACTTATTCTCACAATGACTGATATCAAAAAAAATTAGACACTCTTTTCATATATATCTTTTTAAATTAAAGAAAAAAAAAGTCATTAAAAGACTCAAGACTGATTTTTTTTTTTTTAATTTAATGAAGTTTTTCATTATTTCTGTACACAAAACTGTTTCCATGAGAACGGTATAATTTTATTGTATCAATGTATTAACCATGCTTAATTTTCAACACCGGCTGTTTTAATAAGATTTAAACAAAGCTTAAAAATGAAAAATTATATTTCATATAAATAAAAAAGAAAGTAAAATAAAAATTTATGCCAAAAATTTCTGGTAAAATAGAAGCAAAGAAATATTCTTAGTTAAAAAAAACTAGGAAAACAGAGAAGATATTGCCAAAAATCAGTTACAGACTTTTTTTACAGCAATTTATTACAGACTTAATTTTGACATCACTATAGGTATTTTTGACAGAAGCAAATTATGTAAATTAGCCTCTTTATCTTATATACTATTGCTAATCATTATTACTACTGGTTAATATAAAGAGGGTCTTTATTGCTTCCAAAATGTCAGCAGCCCCCAAACAGAAAAAATTTAGAATAACCAAAATTTTTAAAGATTTACTATTAGATCAAATTTAAAAACTACAAATTTCCTTGATGTCTCATTTAATCTTTTTGGAAACTCTTTACAAACAGAAAGAAACCCAAGTGATAATTTATTATATACAAATATCAATTCCTATCACCCACCAAACATCATTAAATCAATACAAAAAATGATCTCTAACAACATTAGTAATATATCTTCAAGTAAAAAAGCTTTTGATAGAGCTGCAACATTTTATAACAATGCTCTTAATACTAGTGGGTTTAAAGATAAGATATATTTCCAAATATCCCAAAATATAATGAAAGGTCTTGAAAACAAAACATTATCTGGTTTAACCTTCCCCATTCACTCAACGTTAGAACAAATGGAGAAAAATAAATTAGAATATAATTGATAAATGCTTCTCTAAAATTCACAAACTTCATAAACAACAACAAAAAAACACGTTATTACACCACTATTAAATTTGCTTATAAAAAAAAAGCAAATTAGGTTAAAGTGCCACCATTTTTAATTAAAAACTTTAGTCATCAAAGCAAACCTTGTTTTGTTATAACATATATATATATACTATATATATATATATATATATATATATATATATATATATATATATATATACATATATATATATATATATGTACATATATGTATACATATATATATATACATATATATATACATATATGTATATATATATATATATATATATATATATATATATATATATATATATATATATATATATATATATATATATATATATATATATATATGTATATATATATATTAATAGACATACACGCACATACATATATAGCATTAAACAAAAAAAAAAAAATTTATACTTTAAAAACATATATATATATATATATATATATATTTAATATATATATATATATATTTAAAAACATATATACATATATATAATATATATATATATATATATATATATATATATATATACATATATATATATATATATATATATATATATATATATTATATATATATATATATATATAATATATATATATATAGTATATATATATACATATATATATATATGTACATATATGTATACATATATATATATACACATATATATATACATATATGTATACATATATATATATATATATATATATATATATATATATATATATATATACTATATATATATATATATATATATATATATATATATATATATATAAATAAAATATATATTAATAGACATACACGCACACACATATATAGCATTAAACAAAAAAAAAAAAATTTATACTTTAAAAACTTCATATTGCACATGATTAATTCTTTCCAATTAATAAAAACAGTGTGAAGCTCATGGTCATTTAACATCTTTGACTCAGCCATTGGGTTGTAAAACACCTATAACAAACAATTTTTTTATTAACTCTTCTTAATAATCTAAGCTACTCCCTCTACTATTTAAAAGTGACTCAAAAGATAGTCCCTGTTTCCCTGCTCAAAAGATAGTACCTACGGTTTTTTTTTTTTTTTTTTAAACATCTTTGCTTCCAACAAGGCTGCAAGCAACCACAAATTAGTGTTGGAAGTTACTGGAAGAGAAAAGATGAAGGTTGTAGAGCAAGATAACGATTGACAGATGACTTAAAAAATTGCAAATTATATGAATCAGGAAAGATAAAAGAAGCGAACATATTAAAACTCAGATTAAATCAAACAATATAAAAAAAAAATAATTATTTATTGTAAACAATAAAGTAAAAGAAGTTATTAAAAAAATATGAAACAATATACCTCTAGAGTTAAAGAGAGATCATTCATGTAATCTTGTTCAGTATTAATTAACTCATAAATGTGGTTCTAAACATGTTTTATATATATATATATATATATATATATATATATATATATATATATATATATATATATATATATATATATATATATATATATATAGTATATATAGTCTTTCTATATATATAATAATATATAATAATATAAATATATAGCTACATATGTGTGTGCGTGCGCATATATATATATATATATATATATATATATATATATATAATATATATATATATATATATATATATATATATATATATATATATGTATATATATATATAATATATATATATATAAAATCTTCTATTATATTATATATATTTTATTATATATATTAATCTTCTAGTAAGGATTTATATACATATTATTTAAAAATTTATGTTCTTTTTTTGTGATATGTAAACACATACAGTGGATTTTGTGATATGTACACACATACAGTGGGTTTTGTGATATGTACACACATACAGTGGGTTGGTGATATGTACACACATACAGTGGGTTGGTGATATGTACACACATACAGTGGGTTGTCAAATAATTAGGGACAGTTTACTTTTTTTTGTTGTTTTAAAGTTTAAAAGAATTTTTCAAGCATAATAAATTATATTCTGAAGATAATGATATAAACATAAATTTAAACAATTTTTTTTGTGTATATTAGATATATTTAGATATGATATTATTATTACTGTTTTTAATATGCGGCAACTTTAAAAAACTTATTCCTTTAAAATGTTAAGTTCTCATTTAACTGCCAATTGGTAAAGAGTGTTGTTGTGAATCAAAAGTGAGTGAGCTCAAAAGTGAGTTTAGTTATTTATTTTGCGAAAAGTTTTTCGAGTTAAGTACTCTCCAAACATAAGTATTGGGTATTAATTTAATTAGTTATTCTTAATAATTTCTCATTTTTGCTAATATGTAAAAATCTTGATTCCTAACCATTCTAACCTTTAATTGATTTGTATAATATGAGCAAGACTTTAAACACACTTAATCACAAGAAAATGTAGGGATGTAAAAATCTTCATTTCACACATTCTCAGAGAGAGATGCAACAATTATTTTTTTTAATAATAATTTATCCCCCTCCCCCAAGGTTGAAAAGGCCACTACAGACAAGGAGGCTACTGAATTGTGGTTTTAACCCTTATTCAACTTTATAACTCCAAAACATGAACCTTGACGAACAAGGCAGATGTGCAGAGAAACAAGTTGAGTGCGGTACTACCGCACTCGTAGAAATTGAATGTGAAACCTCTTGCTTATGAAACTCTCTACCACTACACCACTACCACTATAACATTATAACCGCTATAATTGCAAGTGCTTTGATATCAGTTTCGATACTTTCAATGTTTTTCGAATTCATTATCATCCTGCTGATCATTCTGCCACAAAGCTAGGAGTGTTAGAACATTCCTAGTTGCAAAAATGTGCACGTTTAAGCAAAAAAACGTGCACAAAAAAAAAATCATCACTATCATATTGCAATTGATAGAAAACCTTATTAGAGAGAAGCACAACAACTTTAATTTTTAGCGCAATACAAAAGTGTGCATAGAAAGCGTGTCCCAACACCTAAAAGCTGTTATTGTACCAAAGGATGTAATACAAAATATTAGGACTATTACCTTATTTGTTAGCTAACATTTTTTATAAAAAAAAATAGCTTTGAATAATTATATTGTTTTATATTCTAAATAAAGCCCTCTTCTGATAAAAACAATAAAAAAATAACTACAAGTTATATATTTATTCATTAAATCCATTTAAAATTTAAAACTACAAAAAAAGTAAGCTGTCTCTATTAACTTAGCAACACATCATAAATTATTTTTATTTGTAAAATATTTTTAAAAAAGATAAGTAATACTTCTAAAAAACAATTTTAATCTTCCTCATCTTTTAATGTTCCTCAATTTTTTTAAAATTATTACATTTAAATTTCATTGAAACTAAACTCACATTAAATTATAAAAAGTACAATCAATATAAAGATAAAAAACAAGAAATTTAAATTGTTTCCAGATTTGTTTTAAATTTTTTTAAACTTATTAGCATTTATAAATCAGAAAATAGTTTTAAAATTTTGTAACTGTTGCTTAAAAAAAATAATATTTACTTGTCTTTGTCGTTCTTCATTTGACATTGATTTTAACAAAGTAGAATCAAATGATCCAGACCCTAAAATAAAGAGAAGCACAAATTAAACATTAAACATAGTTTTTTTTATTATTACCTTATTAATTTACTGTTTTGTTATTGTATTGTTATATGGTACTTGTGATTTTTTTCTCTCACAATGTTTTAAATATGTTAATGGCATGATGAAAATAATTAAAAATATGATTGGACCTGTGTAAAAACCACATTGTGCAAAGTGCTTTATTTGAAACCAATATGAAGCTCATCAGATTGACAGCATGCTGCTGAACAAAACATTTTATTCTACCAAACTTAAAAAACTTGTGGCATAAGTAATCCATGTCAATATTATGAGTGTTATTAATGTGTGTCTTTCTGCTGTACTGTAATGTGTTTATATATCTTTAAAGTATATTTAACCATAAATAATGTAACTAAATTGTATAAACAATAATAACCATACTTCAAATAAAAGTAAACAAAATTAATTTATATATATATATATATATATGATATCTATATATATGTACAGCCTTTGGCTTTTAGGTTAGAGCCAGCATTTGGCTGACCAACTTTTAGCTGCAGTCAGCTGCTGATCTAAAACTTAACTGACCATAACTCCTTACCCAAAAGTATAGAGGTTGTCAATTTATTACTGACCTCATTATTATGTTGATTTAGTGAAACAATTGTGTTAAAAATTTTGTTTTGCTTAATTTTGTGTTAAAAATTTTGTTTTGCTTAAAATAGTTAAATGTCAGCAATTTATTCCAGATATTATATATATATTATATATATTATATATATATATATATATATATATATATATATATATATATATATATATATATATATATATATATATATATATATATATATATATATATATATATATATATATATATACGATGTCATCCTTACAGACGGGTAAAAAGTGGTTTGATTGCATTTTAGGATTTTAGGTGATTTCTTGGAGTAAATTTTTAAAAACTCATTTATTGCTTTAATGAATTACTTAATTACTTTAATAGATATAGTTAATATATATTAAAGCAAAAAAAGTGTTTTTTTTTTCTTTTCATTATTATTTTTTTTTTTGAAAAAAATAGTTTGAATAAAGTGCACAGAACATATACTGCTGTGAATTTGAGAACATATACTGCTGCTGCCAATTGCAGAGCATATTACAGAATGGTATTGTCTGAAATATATGTTATGTAATAATGTATATTTCAGACAATACCATTCTGTATTATACACACACATACACACATATTCATACATTTAATATATTTAAATGGTCTAAGTAGCATTAATTTTGTAATAATTTTCAAATAAATAAATATATTTTTAAAACTTTTAAACAACATGTTTCATCACTAACCAACATACCCGATGATAAAATTTGTTAAAATATCAATAAAGGTGTTAAAAAAAAAAAACAATACAAAATGTAGTTAATTGTATACAAACTAATAATAATATAATTACAAAAAGACAAAATCAATTTAAAAATTTAACAAAAGAATAGGTTAAAAAGATATCTATAGACAGTAATATGTATAAAAAGTAGTAGCTAAACAGAAAGTGTCATTTGGACACTTTTAACCTATTTATTTATACCAGGTTTTAACCATTCTACAAACATACTTTTTTTTTTTAAGTTTTAACTCAAATTTATTAGATGCTGAATCTAAAACAGAAAAACACTTATCATTTAATTGTATGAAACAATTCTCATAAGTATGGAGATGTTTAAAGATTTTTTTTTCCTTTTGTAATGTTCAGATATCTGTGTTTTGAGATGGCGAGTAGTTTTGCCTATACAACAGAAGTTACATCCTGCACATACAAATTTATAGACCACAAAAGATTTGAACTCTAAAGGAATAAAATCTTTAGAAGGAAAGAATTTAGAAATTTTTAGTGAGGTAAATTCTAATTTATCATTTGCAGAACTGCAATATCTTTAAATAATTAAATTGAGTCTTTTTTTAATCGAATTAGAAATTTTTTTTTTTGATAAGACAAGGATTATTTGATTTTCGGTTGTGGCGGAGTATTAGTGTTAATATTGTTGAAGTTGTATATTTTTGAAATTAGCCAAGATGGGTACATGTTTTTTTTTTTAATACTTTGAAGAGTTTATGTCATAATGAAACCCAAGTTTAGCATTATTAATTTTTTGTTATTTCTTATAAATTAATTATGACATGTTAAACTTTTTAATTAATTTTATTGTATTTTTGTAATTATATTATCATTAGTTTGTACACAAATAACTATATTTTGCATTGCTTTTTTAACACCTTTATAGGTATTTTTATAAATTTAATTTTAACTGAAGGTGACTAGTGTTAGTTGAAAAATGTATAGTTTTTTTTTATTAATAAAATGCTTTTACAAATTAAAAAATTTGTCTTGTTTATATATATATATATATATATATATATATATATATATATATATATATATATATATATATATATATATATATAATATATATATATATATATATATATATATATATATATATATTTATATATATATATAAACCCTTGGAATTAGGAAAAATGAGGATGGCAATAATTTGCTGACCTCAATCTGTTTGAGGTCCGCATCAGGTCAGCAAATATTATTTGATACATAGGTCTGACCATAAAACATAGAAACGAGGATGGCAATTTTTTTTTTTAAGTGATAATTCTCTTTTTTTAATTTTCTTAAAACAATGAAAATGTCTAGTGGTTTTTTATATCTTATAAAACTTTTTATATCTAATAGAAGGTCTTTGCAGAAATTTTTATCAAGACTTGGTCTAACTCAACATCAAGATTTGGTGTTTTGTTAACATCAAGACTGTGTTGATAAGTTGTCTGACTATTTTAATAAATTCAAAGCAAAGTGTTCTCTGTTAAACTTACACAAATTTTTAATAATCTTTAATAATTTTTTTTTTATACATAATTTTTTATATATTTTTGACTTTATTATTTATTATGTAAAGAATCAACCCAACAATTCAGGTTTTCTCTCTTGCTTATGCAAGTACACAATACTATGTGATGTGCATTTGCATGTAAACCAGTTCTAAACAAAAAACTATTTATATTTTTCAAGCAGATGTATTTAGTAATTATTAATTTGCATGGCACTCTAATAACATAATAGTATGACACAAATAATATAACAATATATAACAATCAGGTCACTTCTTAAAATTTATAAAAACAAACCATGACATACAAAGAAGTAATGATTTTAAGACTTATTAAAAATATATTGGTATAGAAATTATGGAAAAAAAAAAAATTAAAACTCTGTCAAACTGTTCACAAATTTTACAACAAACCAAAAAAAATTTATATTTTATAATCACAATATGTTTTATCACCCCAATTAAGGTAAACAATAATTAAACCAAAAGAAAATATTTTATTATTCTATAAAAAACATAAAATATTCAAAAATTTAACTGAAAACAAAAATAAATTTTGAATTTGAATTAAAGAATTTGACTAAAAATTTGTTTTTCACAGAAAACCATGTATACAAGTAAATACAGAAATTGAATTCAAAAATCAAAAAAACAAACAAACTCAAAAACCTTTAAAAACTAACGTATTGTATGTATAAACATATTATATATTACAAAAAAAACAACAAAAAAATAAAAACTAATGTATGTATGTATGTATATATATATATATATATATATATATATATATATATATATATATATATATATATATATATATATATATATATATATATATATATATATATATATATATATATATGTATGAATGTATGTATATATATATATATATATATATATATATATGTATATATATATATATGTATATATATATATGTATATATATGTATATATGTATATATATATGTATATATATATATATATATATATATATATATATATATATATATATATATATATATATATATATATATATATATATATATATATATATATATATATATATATATATATATATATATATAGAGTGAGATTTGTTTTATAGAACAAACTTTAGAAGAAAAAATTAAATAAGATATATTTTCAAAATATTTTTTTAAATATTTATAAACGTTAAAAACTTCTAGAGATAATAAAATATCATAAATGAGATGTATATATATAAATATATATATATATATATATATATATATATATATATATATATATATATATATATATATATATATATATATATATATATATATATATGTGTAAAATATTAAAAAAAAAAACAACAACTCATAGTTTTTCACTGGTTCATGTACTGCCAAACTTTCAATGTTGAAACCTCAAAATTAAACATATATGGAACCAACACTATTAACAATCTTAGATGATGCTGTGTCTTACTTACACTGACTCGTTGAAAGATCACTTTGCAACTCTTGTACGTAGTTGTAAGGAAAAACACCAGTTTGACCATCCAACTCTCCTTTCCACCATTCTCCATCTTTGCTCAAAACATTTATCATACTTCCTTTGCAAAAAGTGAGTTCATCTTCATTCTGTGCTGTGTATGAAAAGACAGCTAACACTTGTTTATATTGATCTAAACAAAATATTTTTATTTTTAAATATTTAAGTATATAAATTATGTTGATACAATTATTTATCATTTAATTAAAATTTTTATATTTCTATTTTATTATAGAATTTACCACATTTCTAAAACAGAACCTTGTAATAATAACAATAATAAAAAATTATAAAAATGAACTTTTGTTTTTGTTTAAAAAAAAAAAAAAAAAAATTTATCAACTTTTTGTAAAAAAATCGAAAAAAAAAAAACTCTGAATGAAAAAACTTCATGAGTTATAAAAATAAACAGAACAGAAGTAAAAAAAATGTAACCTTTTTTTTTTGTTGGAACAGAATACAAATTTTCTTCCGAATCCGTATTTTTAGTTTGCATTTGAAATTGGCTTTTTTGTTGAAGTTTTGGTTGATCTCCTTTAGACTTTAACTTGACATTTTCAGATGGAAACCAACCAATAGGCTTGCTTTTTCCTCTTACCTATAATTATATATAATATATGTAATATATTAAATTATAATGTATATGTAATATACTAAATTATAATTATAATGTAATAACAAATATATGTAAATAATGATAACTAAAATGCGTATTACGAGATTAAAACAAAAAACTTAATATTTAATCACCAATGAAAACTAATAATTATCTAGCATAAACTCTTATAAGAGCATTACATTGAGTGATTTTAACAAACGATAATAAAATTGTTTAGAAGATAGTAATCAAAGAGGCAAAAAAGAAATGTTAAGCTAGATTAAGTGTATCTTAAGCTAGAGTGAATGCATCTTAAGCTAGATTAAGCTCATCTTAAGCTAGAGAAAGTGCATCTGCAAAAATTTTAAAAATGTTCTCAAGAATATGTGCAGAGATAAAATGGTCAAATTTTGGTGTTAAGTACACCACTAATCTTCAAACTAATAACCATAATGATTGAAGATTCAGCATGTGATGATTGATGATTCAGCATGTGATGATTGATGATTCAACATATGATGATTAATGATTCAGTATATGATGATTGATGATTCAGCATATGATGATTGATGATTTAGCATATGATGTGATGATTGATGGTTCAACATATGATTAATGATTCAGTATATGATGATTGATGATTCAGCATGTAACTGAACCTTTTTAAATTGATAAATCAGTAAATTCTTTTTTATAAATCGCTAAATTTTTGTAAAAAATGAATTTTTTGAGAAAACTTGTAGTTCATAAAAATCTTCATTTTTAATATCTTAAAATTGTGTTGTTATAACTTATTAATTTTTATATGTATTGTTAAATTTCAAAAAATAAACTAAAAAGTAATCAAAGAAAAATAAGAATGAGTAAAAATCATTTTTCTTTTATTTTGTTTTTATAGTTTTTGAAGTTTAAGAAACTATTGTAATAAAAAACTAGAATTTCTAAAAATTACCTGAACTTCACCTTTCCACCAACCACTAGGATTCATTACATGAATGTGTACAAGTTGACCAACATTCAATGAAACTTCATATTTATTGTTTGCAGCATACTTAGTGACAACAGAAGCTAACTCCTTCTTTAAGTTAAAAAAAAATCTGGGTTAAAACATTACTTTTCAGTAACAATCTATTTATATAGCGTCAAAAACTGTGTGTGTGTGTATATATATAAAGGCATTGTTTTAAATAAAAAAATGCTTAACGCAATAGCCTAATGTTAATTTGACGTCATAAAATTCTCTTTATTTTTTAAAGACATTAACTTTTTTAAATTACTACAATAATTACCGCATAACAAGTTAAATGTCATTAACTTCTTTTTTACCATTACTATTAGGGAATGTCTATTTTCTTTTAATTTTTTTAAATATTAAATAATTAAATTTAATATTACATTTATAAAAATGTTTGACATTAATAAATTTCTTTCTTTTCTCAACATTTGCACAAATGAAAAATATGTTAAATTTTTAAATGATTATTTCTTAAATTTCTAATTGCAGCTTTGCAACTACAAACGATTTAAAAAAAAAAATTAGCAAGTAACAAATAACAAAATTTTGTTAATTTATTTACTTCATTTATTAAAAGTTTATTATTTTATTAATAAAACAAAGCAACAATTATTTTTCCAAACATCATTGGTTAAAATTGTATTGCTGTATATATCATGTATCAAAAAATAGTTGCTAAAATTCAACTTTCATCATTAAAAAAAAAAAAAGTTTAACTTGTGTTTTGTGCAAATTTTTGATGCAGCCGTTTATTCAAAATTTAATTTTGAGTTGAAAAAAAAAAAAAAATGTTTAGGAAGGAAAACCAAAAAAAATAATGATATGAAATATGATAAAAATGAGGTAATTTTTTTTAAAGAATAAAATTTAAATATTGAACAATGTTTAGTAATATTTTAAAATAAATTTGACATTTAAGTTAAACACACGCATTAACTTTAATTTTAACAAACTTAAATATATATTTTAAATCAAAATTAAGTTATGTATTTTTTAAATCTAAACTAAATTATTTTTTTTTTTATCAGAATAAATTAAGTTATTTTTATTAAATTAGTTTTAAATTAAATCATATATATTTTTTATCAGAATTGAATTATATTATTATGATCTTTGCTTCAAGCTTAAAGTATTAGCATTTTTTAAGCGACAAAGTCAATTATTACAATAAAATAAAAACAAAATAAAAATAAATTTTTAATTTTATTTTAGTTTTTTTTATTAGTAAATAGCAACTATATCTGACATAATTGTCATTCAAACTTTTATGACAACATAATCGTCATTCAAAAGTTAATGTGGTTTTTTTAAAAATTAATTACTTCTTTTATCTAAAAGAATAATTTAAAAGATAAAAAAAATAATAATAAAAAGCTTACTGCATAAAACTGCTTAAGGCAAACATTAATACAAATACATCCAGAATTATTCAAATCATCATACTTTTTGTTATAAGATATCAAAGTTTTACTTACTATTGAGAGAAAAACTTAAAACAAAATCTAACTGAATTATATTTTATCTTCTTGTTTATTGGGTTTACAAAAAAATCAATTAAATCCTATTAGATTAGTTTATAGTTTACTTTAAGTCAATTTTATGCCACTAACTAAGAAGTTTTTTCCACATCTTATGCATCAGTCATAGCTCTATATTTATTAGGCATTAGTTTTTGACATTACTTTTAATTCATCTCATAAAAATCCAATAGGAGAGTGAACTTGTGATTGGGGAGGCTAAATCATTCTATTCAATATTTAATCATTATTAACTCAAATAACTTATACAAGTCAAATCACTTATACAATGCTCTAAAGAATATGTTTTATATTTAAGCCAGAAATCATTTTCTTCTAAAAAAATAAATGGTTTCCTATACAGCCAATGATGGTCCATTTTTTATGTAGTTTTTCCCACTTTACTATTCTTATAACTTTTATAAAAGTATTTTTATATTATCAAAATTTACATAGCAAACAAAAAAAATAGTTAAATAAAAAATAGCATTAAAAAAAAAAGTTAATGTCATTCGAATAAATATGAACAATGGTGTGTGTGTGTGTGTATATATATAAATATATATATAAACAACCCTCGGAATTAAGAAAAATAAGGTCGGCAATAATTTGCCGACCTCAATCTTTTAGAGGTCGGCATCAGGTTGGCAAAAAATCTTGATAAAAAGGTCTTACCATAAAACATAGAAATGTGGTCGGCAACATTTTGCTGACCTCAAACACTTTAAGGAAAGCCGAAAGGTTGAAATTTACAAATGTGTATCCTAGTTCGGAAGGCTGTATACATATATACATATATATATATATATATATATATATATATATATATATATATATATATATATATATATATATATATCAATGTATATCTGCATCTCAATATATATATATATATATACATATATATATATATATATATATATATATATATATATATATATATATAATATATATATATATATATATATATATATATATATATATATATATATATATATATATATATATATATATATATATATGTATATATATATATATACAGCCTTCAGAACTAGGATACACATTTGTAAATTTCAACCTTTCGGCTTTCCTTAAAGTGTTTGAGGTCAGCAAAATGTTGCCGACCACATTTCTATGTTTTATGGTAAGACCTTTTTATCAAGATTTTTTGCCAACCTGATGCCGACCTCTAAAAGATTGAGGTCGGCAAATTATTGCCGACCTTATTTTTCTTAATTCCGAGGGTTGTTTATATATATATTTATATATATACACACACACGCACACCATTGTTCATATTTATTCGAATGACATTAACTTTTTTTTTTAATGCTATTTTTTATTTAATATATATATATATAATATATATATATATATATATATATATATATATATATATATATATATATATATATATATATATATATATCAATGTATATCTGCATCTCAATATATATATGTATCTCAATGCAAACTAAAAAATCTCAAAATATTCTTTCAAATTGTTTTATAGTCATAAGGTAAAAAAAACAAAAAAAAATTAATTTGGTTCTCAGTTAACTTCAAAGAAATACTTGATGCTATAATTTATGATATAATTTATATTAATATTAATATTATACTATAAATAGAATTTAAACATTTTTTACTCTTAATTCCTTCGATTCTATAACTTGAACATAATTGCCAGGAAACATTCCAATAACACCATTGCAATAACCATTCCACCATTCTCCATCATCATTAAGAGCTAAAATTGTATCACCTTCATTAAATGTCAAGTCCCCATCTGGACCAGAGTAGCTGTACAAAGCAATACACTCTGAAAATAAATTTCATCTATGGGTTTAATTTTATAAATATAAACACCAGAGTTTCATTAATACATTCTAATAAGTTACATAAATTTATTACAAGAATATTTATCTGTTTAATCCAAAAAAAATTCTTAAAAAAACAAGTCTTTTTTCTTATAAAGGAACCGTACAGAACACTTTTTTAAAAGTTGTATAGGATACTTATTTTTGAAGAAATTGTACAGAATACAAATATATTAAATAATTTAATATACCTTTGTATGTTGTTCATAGTGATCAGTCATTAAAGTTTATTTTGAGAATACCTCTCACTTGTAATTTAAGAAACATTGGTATCTAATGAATGCCTATTTCTTAAATTACAATTGTAAAAATGGACTCAAAAAGAAAACAACTTTTTGTAAATTTTAATATTTTTTTAAAAAGATAAAAAATGAACAAGTAGTGACAAATGTACAAGGAGATTTTTAAGTTAAATATGGATATTAAGTAATAAATATATTCATATTTATGCACATCTGTATTGCAAAAAATATTTTAAGAAGAAAAACCTTAGAAAATTCAACACAATAACTCTCAATAAATTTGAACTTAAGAAAAATTACCTAAGAAACTGTCAATATCTATTAATCAAACAAAAAATTTGAGTTATCTGAAAGAACTTGCTAAAAGGGGACAAGAAAATGATTAGACTTAACAAAGTTTGTGTTATCCAAGATTCAACCTAACTGAATAATTTTATTAGTAATCGCTTAGATGATTTCCAGTGATTAAATGAAATAGTTTGAAATCATAAAAATTTGAGTTCATCGGTGTTTGACTTACCTGGAATTATCTGTATCTCTCCGAAATTGTGACAAAACATTGGTCCAGTAAAAGTTTTTTATCACTAAGCAACAGAATGAAATAACCTACATTTATTACATTAAAATTACCTTTATCAATTGTAGAAGACACATTTACAACTTGTTCTTCAGAAGCGCTTTTTTTAATAATAGTTCCAATATTCTCAATTGAAGGACTATTATCAACACCAATTGGCTTAACATAAGATTTAGGAAACCATCCACTCTAAATTTTTTTTTCAGCTTGAAAATTTTGCAAAACAAATTAAAAATACTTTAAAAAATTCAAAAATAAATTAAAAGCCAGCAAACCTCTCCATGACACTCGCCAAACCACCATTGATCTTGCTGCTGCTGGACACTTATCATATCACCTTTATTAAAACTTAAATGATCATCTTTTTTTGCGCGATACAAATACAATGCGACTGCTTGAATTTTTTCACCAAAATTCTCGCTTGCTGCAACAGGCTTAAAATGTAAAAAAAATTAAATTAATTTTTTTACAAAATTGAAAATAATGATTTTTGACAGTGTCACAACCTTATAAACAAAAAATATGTAAAAAAATTACACAAAATTACAATTTAGCAAAAGTACAAAATTAAAAAAAGCAAACAAACAAAATTTTAATTTTTGTGTTAACCATTTATATAAGTTTTTCATGTTTTTTAGTTTTAATATGACTATTTTGTTGCTCATTTAATGGACTTGCTTATAGAAATTTTTTTGTGAAGTTTTTCATGTTTTTTAATTTAATATGAACAAGTTGCTCATATAACAAATTTAAAAAATTTATGTATATCTATTTTCTAACAAAACTAATTTATTCATTATAAAAGGTTAAAAACCTGATGAGACCTTCCTGCACCCTCATCATCTGACAACCTGTTCAAATCTCACTATGAGATTTGAACAGTTCTAATATGATGTAAATATTAACTCACATCAAAATAGCTAGAGTATATACATCTTCTGTATACACTATTTTAATGTAAATACTCCTTATCGAAGGAGTATTTACAGCAAAAAGATGCAATTAAGCTGGGTGACAGGTTATGCAAGATCAAGCTGAGCAACAGGTTATGCAAGATCAAGCTAAATGACAGGTATGTGAGATCAAGCTGAGTGACAGGTTTTGTGAGATCAAGCTGAACGACAGGTTATGCAAGATCAAATTGAGTGACAGTTTATGTGAAATCAAGCTAAGCGACAGGTTATGCGAGATCAAACTAAGCGACAGGTTATGCGAGATCAAGCTAAGCGACAGGTTATGCGAGATCAAGCTGAGCCACAGTTTTGGAAAACTTTAACTAATAGCAATAGAATATGAAACTTTAGTGTCAAATGGCGAAAATTTGAATGAAAAAAAAAAAAAAAAAGAATAACACAATGTTTAAAACATAAGATTCAATGTTCAAATCAAATTTTTACTAACTAATAACAGTTTATTTATTTTATTTGTTTGTAAATTTAAAAAAAATAAGTTTTTGACTAGGAATCATTTTTAAAGGAGAAAAACGTTTTTTTAAAATGCTATACAAACTTATAAAGAATATATAAACACAATACATATAAATAAAAAATACATTAAATATCATTACAATGGAAAACTATCATCATAGTAATTATCATCATTCATATTTTTTTTTATCATCATTACGGTAATATTTTTATTTCTATAAAAATCGGTTTAACTTTTTTTAGTAACTTTTTTTGTAATTTGGTATAAAAAATATTTTTCATAAAAAAACTTACTGCACCAACAGTTTGATAAATATCTTCAGACTCAGCAATAGTATCGATTTTATTTTTCATTGGAGATGCATACAGCTCAGAAATATCCAAATTTGTTTTAGAAGGTGAGTCTGCCACATAATCATAATGAGGAAACAAATCAGCATCTTTTTCAAAGTCTTTTTCAGTATTTGATAAAGGTTGCAAAGGCTTCAGTGTTGCCACAGATGGTAAGAGCGCTGTCTTGGGCCGATTTCCAGATGGTTTTGTTTCTGGTTGCTTTATAACTGGCTTTAATTTTGGAAAAGAATCTTTTTTATCATCACCTTGTATTGATGGGTTTTGAGTAGTAATATTTCCATTTAGAGCCGAAACCTAATAAAATAAGTATATTTAAATAACATATATTTTGATATTATGAATCACAATTTTTTGATTTGTGAATCTTTTTCATTTACAAAATATGTTTTTATTTATGAAACATAACAATCATAAAAATCACTATAACAAATTTAAAATATCAGATTAAAAACTTTGTAAAAACATGTTGATGTTTACAATTGGCTATTACAAAAACAAAAAAATTGATTGTTGACAATAATGCAAAAACTGACTGTCAACAACAATTAACTGCTCACAATAAATTGACTCTTAACAACAAATGAAAAAATTTGCATTGTTGTAAAGTTTAAAGTTTAAAATTTGTTTGTTTCTTTGAATTTTTCATTCATTCATTTTATAAATGTATAACTATTGTGGATTTATTCGAGATGACACCTTACTTGTTAAAACTCAAACTAATTTTTTGTTTTATATTGTGGGAAACGTATGATGTCATGCTAAAAATTATAAGAAAATAATTTAGAAGAAATGTAAGCATTAGTGATATTGCTCACACTTTCCAAAAAAAAATTTCTGACATTAACATACTTGATACTTAACAATGCTATTAGTTTTTTAAAAAGGCAAATATATTAAAGTAGAAAATTTATTGTAAGCCAGCACAACCATTACAAAGTATTTTTTTACATTTTTAAATAACATTCATAAATAAAAAAACAAAGCAATTAAAAAAAAGTCATAAGCCTTTACAGGCTTATGACTTTACATCTCAAGAAGGTTTTCTATGATATTAATTACAATGCTTGACTTAATCTCAAGTCTTTTATAAGTTTTGCAAGTTTGTTGCTTTTGATCAATCACCTCCAATTTCTGTAAGCAAATAGTCTCTGAGCAATTATTTTTAATTTAAACAAAATAATAGGATAAATTTGTTTTAAAATTCATATGATTTGACTATTATTTTTAAACCAACATTGTTTATCATGAAATATGAAATTTGAATTTTTTTTCGAAATAAGTACAACTTAACCTCTTTACATGCGCTTAAATACTGCACCTTTTTAAATGTTATAAAACACTTATTTTAATTTAAAACAAACAAAATTTTCAATAATTTTTTTGAAAATAAAAATGTGCGTGTGTTCAGATCAAATAAAATATGCTTTCAATGATATGTATACACAAGTATACATTAATGATATGTATACACAAATATACATTAATGTAAACTTTCAATGATATGTATACACAAGTATACATTAATGATATGTATACACAAGTATACATTAATGATATGTATACACAAGTATACATTAATGATATGTATACACAAGTATACATTAATGTAAACTTTCAATGATATGTATACACAAGTATACATTAATGATATGTATACACAAGTATACATTAATGATATGTATACACAAGTATACATTAATGATATGTATACACAAGTATACATTAATGATATGTATACACAAGTATACATTATTGATATGTATACACAAGTATACATTAATGTAAACACACAAAAACATTAAATCTTAAGTAACTGTTCACATTTTAATTGAGATCTTATTAAATAAATGTAAAATATATTGAAACATTAAAACTACAAAAAGAAAAATTTTAAAACAAATTATAAGTTATATTATTATTTAATAATTAATTCATTAAGATAATATAATTGTAATTCCACAAATATTTTACTTATAAAAGTAAATAGGTATAGGGGAGTTTGGGTTGCAACAAAAAGTAAATAGGTATAGGGGAGTCTGGGTTGCAACAAAAAGTAAATAGGTATAGGAGAGTCTGGGTTGCAACAAAATTTAAAATTGATCTCCTCTAACTTTGACTTTTTTTAAAAAACTTTTTTTCAGGGTTAAAAAAATAATTCTTATTAATCTAACATTGATAAATATAATAAAAAACTTATTTATTCTGAAATAATGAAAAAAAAAAAGTTGCAACTTGGAAGCATAAGACTTGCAGAGTAAAACAAATTTCATAAAATAAAAATCAAACTTAGATAACAACTAAAAAAGAGTTTCAATTAACTTTCATTAAAGACTATTCCATGAGCATATGGAGTCTCCTGTCACAGTTATGGAGTCTCCTCTCACAGTTATGGAGTTTCCTCTCACAGTTAAAATCTCTGCCTATATTTTCCAAATTCAAAAACAGTCTGTTTAATTTTTTTATTTTATTTTTTTTATTCAACCATATCCATAAAATTTACAAATTTCATCATAAATTAATATAAATTGGTTAGGTGTCACTCAAATAGTTACAAACTAGTCAATAGAGTGACACCTAAAAAACATAAAAATTTCACAAAAAAATAAATAAATAAAAAATTAAAAAAAAAAAAAAAAAAAAGCAAATTTATTATTTTTTATTATTATTATTAAACAAGTATTCTTCCTAATTTATATTACTACTGCTAACTATCTACTAACTATTCATCTTAACTTTATTTGCTTTAATGCTGGTTTATAACTACTAATACTTGATCTTTTAAAAATTCTTTTCTTTCTTTATTTCAATGCTGATTTATTACTACTAATACTTGCTTTTTCTCAAATTAATATTATTTTTATATCACTATTCTATTTCCAACTCTCACTATTATAAATATTGCTATTCCTATCATTATTATTATTATTATTATTATTATTATTATTATTGTTTTTATTATTATTATTATTATTATTATTATTACTATTATTATTATTATTATTATTATTATTATTATTATCAATAGAATTGTTATTTTTATTGCTAGTTTTTATTATTATTTTGATTATTATTACCATTAACTGAAGTTTTTATTATTATTACCTATAATTATTACATTATTATTTATAATGTTAATAGGTTAAAATAATAGGTATATCCTAGATAGATGTATAAAAGTAAATTGAATTTTGTCCTAAATTTATTAAACATCTTAATTATTATCCCATAAACTTTTTCCTTAAAGGGATCCCCAACTGCCAAGACAAGTTGTGTATATATTAAAGGAAATGTTTAAAAAAAACAGTTTGGCTAAATATTTTTGATTGAAACTAAATAATGAATACTTACCAACAAAATTAAAATTAGCGTTTTAGTCGAAGCTCGTCTTCTCCATTTATTTTTGGTTATCGGGGTCTGTATCGCAATATTTTTTTAAGATTAATATTTTTTGTCGTTTTTTAAAGATATTTTATAAGTATTTTTTCTACTACAATCAGAAAATCAAATATTTGTATAATTTTTTACTAAATCACAAAAAATATTTGTGATTTAGTAAAAAAATTATACAAATATATATATATATATATATATATATATATATATATATATATATATATATATATATATATATATATATATACATTTTTATATTTATAATTTTTTTTTTTACTCGTTTTATTATTACTTTGTTGTAGAAGCCAGCTAAAATCATGACAAAATTATACATATTTTGTGATTATTAGAGTTCATGGGTAAAGAAAAAATAAAGGCAGTATGATGCAATTTTTCGTTTTATATTTAGTTTATATGGTAATATGAACTAAATATAAAACAAAAAACTGCATCATACTGTTGCAGTTTTTCGTTCATTTAGTTCATATATAACTGCTTGTCTTGGCAGTTGGGGATCCCTTTAAGTATTGTACTGTTTTATGTTGTTGTTTTTTTTTTTTTTCAGTTTCTTATTATGTTGTTTACTTAAAAATTAGTACTTGTACTATACGTAAACCATGAAATGTAAAATCTATTTCAGAATACATTTGATTTTTTTTTTTTTTTTTTTTTAATTTTAATTCACCTCCTCAAGGCCGAGAAGGCCACTACAGACGAGGAGGCTTTTGATTAAATTTGATTAAAAAACAAAAAAAGTTTTGAAGAAACTAAAGAATTAATTAAATTTCAATTCAACAATTTTTTAAATGTTTTTTTGTTGTTGAAGTATCAGCAGATTTTTGCTTTTTAAAAATTTCTTTGTTAAAAAAACAAAAAAAAAAACATCCATTATTTTAGAAATAACTTTTTTCATAATTTTATGATTCAACTTACCCCAAGCAATTTGATTCAACCTTGTAAGCATCATGATCACTCTAATCAATATATGAAATTTTTCATTAAATAAATTTACTTTTTTTTAGCTTTTTGTGTTTGAAAAAGATTTTTTAATTTTTTTAATTTAAAATTTTTTAACGATTATTTTATAATGGTCATATACCACTAAGTTTACAGCAAAACTGGAAAAAACATTGAAAACAAAAATTAGAATTTTGTATTGAAGGGTTATCAATAACTTTTAAAGTTTTGAATTTATAAAAATCAATAACTTTTGAAAATTTTAATTTATTACTATAAGTTTTATAAAGATGAAATGTCATAATTATAGCTATATAATAGCTCCGGTCTCCTTTACCAGAGTGTATACAAATTTTTAGTGACCCAATTATATGATAAATTTAGTATACTGTAAACTGTAAAGAGCAACCCATTATTAAAATTATTCAGAGTACTTATTTTATCATCAATCTTTTATAACTTTTGCAGTACTTATTTTTCTTATTTTAGTTGACTTATGTGAAAACTGAAATAAAATAAGATGATAATTATAAATTATAAAAGTTATAAATTTGATTTTTTCGTCTTGCAATTGTAGTTTTGTGAAGAAAAATCTTAAAAAGGTAGGGTACCTTTTTAGGTTTAAGGTGCTTACTGGCTAATTGGCTTAGTTGCTAAATGCTTCAAGGGATTTGATTTTAGGGAAACGGTTCAAGGGATTTGAAATTGCTTTAGGCTGTTAATAATTTGTTATAATGCATGCATGGTTAATGATAATGCATGCATGGATGGTTGTGAAAAAAAAACAACTTAATGATATGATACAGAGATGAAAAAACACGATGAGCAGACAGTGATAATGGTGCTTACAATGGTGGGAGATTGAAATGGTAAATTTAAATATTTGAAAAAAAAAAAAGTAATCTTTTACATTTGCTCTTGGATTAAGTTCAACATAATCGCTAAATGTATCATTCTGTATCTTTGACGCATAATTTGCTGGAAAAAGACCCTCAGCGCCTTTGAATGTGCCACGCAACCAACCGGTTGGTACAGTTTTATCATTTTCATCAACCTAAAAAAAAAATTAACTGTCAACTTTTTATAAATAATACAACTTTAAAATATTAAATGGACTTTTATCAAGTATTAAATATTATGCTGTTACTAATATACTTACAAAAAACATATTCATAAACATTTTTATAAACATTTAAATTATAATAATAATTTTAGGAAACTTGTTATTATACACATACATGCGTAGATGTGTGCGCATTTCAAGCTAGAACTTGAAATTATTTTGCTAGCTCCACATACACCTATTTTTCAATTTTTGTAAGTTGCCTTAAAATATTTCAAAAATTTTCTTCAATGTGCTTAAGACACATCTAACAATAGTAAAAAACAGTTTAGACACTCTATAAAACTTATCGACAAATACCGCTTGTCACCATATAAAGTTATAACTTATATAATTTTTAATTTATTATAAGTTAGAAAGTTATTAAACAACTATCTAACGACTATTAGTGACTAAATATTAACCAACTAATGTTAATTTATATCAATTCATCATTTATCAAAAAAAAAAAAAAAATATTATTGATAGCAAAACTGGTAACTCAAAGAAAATGCCATTTATTAGATAATTGACAGGTTGAGCCATGATGCCAGTTAACCTGTTAATTGCTACTAATAACACTAATCAAATTAAAAAAAAAAAAAAAAACACTTTAAATTTATGAATTTTTGATTCACACACACATGCTCAAGTTAATGAACAAATTTTTCCATTAAAATATCCTGACATTTCTTTTATTTTTGAAAATAATTTTAAACTTCCAGCTTTACTAGTTTGCTAGACGCCCTGCAAACATCTCTAAAGAATTAACAAATTTGCCAAAACTTAAGAATCTAAATACATTTTGTTAATATCAGGGTATTATAAAATATTTGAAGCATACCTGAACAATATCTCCTTCTTTAAGATTGAGTTCATCAGGATTACGATTTTCAAATGAATACATTAGTTTATATGGAGTTCTTTTTACATACTGGTTTGAAACTGTTATATAAACAAACAAACAAAAAAAACTTTTGAAAACAAAATAATACATTTCTATTAGAACCCATTTTTATTAAACTATACAATAATTAAAATATTAAAAAAAAAATAAAAAGCTATAGGAAGACAAAACAAACTAAATAAACCTAAAGGAAACTTAGAGAAGTCATTTTATCTAGATCATTCCCACAAATTATAATGTGAAATAAATAGAAAAAGTAGGCTTGGTTTTTTAAATGAAAGATACAGAAACTCTCATCACATCTATGTACTTGTCACATTTCTGTAATTGTCGCATCTCTCAACTTGTTTCTTTCCTTATCAATCTTATTTTTTAAAATAGATGAGAGAAAAAAGTTTCTCAGTTAATGACTCCCTACCACATAGTACAATCTGTTAAAGCTTTTTGGAGGAGCAAAATATCCCTCAGTTGGATTAGCCAAGAATAGATCTGGGCTATTCTTGCCAACGATATTCTTTTCCTACTGATGGTGAAATAAAATGCGTGTTTAGAGAACATCTGACAACACACTGAAATAACATGATGCTGGGGGCTTAGTACAAAATCAAATCAAATCAAATCAAATATATTCTGAAACAAGTTGTTTAACATTTCAAGGATATTTACAATAGTACGAGTACTAATATAAAGCAAATACCTAATACAAAATATCAACATAGACATTTAGAAATATATTAATAGTAATAATAGTATTATATTAATAGTGTAAATACTACTAACAATTAAAACAACAATAAACATTAAGTCAATATATATATATATATATATATATATATATATATATATATATATATATATATATATATATATATATATATATATATATATATATATATATATATATATATATATAGCAATAATAAGTAATCGTGATAGTAAAATAAAAAGTAAAATAAAAATAACAAAAAAGTTAATATTACTATAATCTGAAAAATTCAATCATAATAAAAAATCTTTAATAACGAAGGTAATATTACCAATAAAAATAAAATAAATAGAAATGAAAGAAAATAAATTGATGATGACGATAAATAAAGATTCGAGAAAATCCTCGTCAATAACAGTGATAATATACTAACAATAAAAATAGCAAAATGAAAAAAATAAATATATAAAGGAAAAGCAGAATAAATAACCAAGGAATTAGGATAAGAATAGACTAGGTAGATAGAATTTGATAAATAGATAGAGAATTGAGAGTTATTGAGGATAGGAGAATGAAAAGCCAGAGGATTACTAATTTATAAATACTATAGGGAGTTTAGAGTTTGACTGCAGAGATATTTATTTGTATTCTATTAACAAGTGATTGAAAAGCTTGACCTTGAAGTAAGAGATTTTAAATCAGGGGGGAGATTGTTCCATGCGCTTATACTTTGGTATTTAATGGATTTATTTCCATACTTGATAGAATGGTGTTTTGGAACAGGTAGGTTTAAATTATTTAACGAACGAAGAGGATATGGACAATTTAAACATTTATTATAAAAATTGTTGAAAAATACTGGAAGGTTATGGAGATGGTAATTCCAGACAAATTGACAGTTAAAGGATATAACAAGGTCACTTAATTTTAGTATATTGGAAATACAGTACAGCACACTAGATTTAAAGTTATTATATTGAAAATATATTATTTTTAAGGCTTTATTTTGGAGATAGGATAGCCTTGAGAAATGGTGTTTCTGGGATTGTCCCCATATTTGACATGCATATCTTAGACGAGACTCAAAAATAGCATGGTATATATTAAGCAAAGCTTTTAAATTTACATAATGGCTGACTTTGGTCAACATTCCATTAGATCTCCTGAGTTTTATTGCCAAGTCATTTAGGTGGTCTTTGAAGGAAAGATTGGAATCAATTTTAATACCAAGATATTTGATAGATCCCACAGGATAAATTTTCTGTCTGCTTAGTCTAAAATTTAATTGCTTTTTAATAGGTGTCAGACTGGATTTAAAGATGATGAGTTTAGTTTTATTACAGTTAAGAGAAAGTTTATTAGATCAAAGCCATTGAACAAGATTTGAGAGATCATGATTAATATATTTGTTGATTTTTTTTAGCAATTCGTCAATCAGTAGCATGTTAGTATCGTCTGCAAAGTGGTAAGCAGTTGCAAATTTAAAAGAAGTATTTAAGTCATTATTAAAAATGAGAAGTGGTCCTAAAACTGAACCTTAAGGGACACCATTTGAGCCCTTTTTTATGACAGAATTAGTCCCATTAATGGAAACAAACTGTTTTCTATTTTTAAGATAAGAACTAAACCATTTAAGTGGGATGCCTCTGATTCCATAATACTCCAATTTCAAAGCTTTTTCCAAATCTACAAACACTCCACATGCAAAGTGCTTGTTATCCCGTGCTTTTCGAATCCTCTCAGTAACTCCAATGAGTGCAAGGGTTGTGGAATGTTTCATACTTCGGAATCCATACTGATGTTGGTATAGACTTTTACATTTTTCTAGAAACTTGTACAGCCTGTTATGCCTTTTCAAAAAGTTTGCTCAAATTGGAAAAAAGGGAAATGGGTCGATAGTTAGTGTAACCAAAAAGAGAGCCTTTTTTGAGGATTGGAACAACTCTAGCTACTTTGAATACATCAGGGAATGTGCCACTTTTAAATGAGTTATTAATAATAATGCAAAGTGGCTTTGAGATAATGTGAGATGTAAGTTTTAGAATGCATTGACTATTTTATAGCCTACTGCCGCAAAGGAGTACCGCTACATCAACTGGGGTTGGGCATAGAGCAGCAATCTTTTTTTTCATTATTCTTTGTTTTTTTGCTTCTTTTTCTGAAAATGCTGTATGTTATAAAGATAGGAAAAACTAGTTTGTATATATATATATATATATATATATATATATATATATATATATATATATATATATATATATATATATATATATATATATATATATATATATAAAAACACAAACAAAACGCACATATAAAATCACAAATAAATTTTAAAAACAAGAATGAAAAAAATTACCTTGGGATTTGTCTGGAGTAGCAACAGATAAGACTTGAGACTTTTCTGGAGCAATAGAAACTTTCTAAATTAAATATAATTTAGAAAATTTAAAATTACTGTTATTAAATTTAAAACTAAAATTTAAAATTACTGTTATTAAATTTGCATGAAACCATAATAACAGGATAATCTACATAGTACAACAAGATCTATTATTTCATATTAGTACCACCCAAAGTAAATAAATATATACATATGCTATTATCTGCACAAAGGGTTTCTAAATGTTAGAATTATTTTAAAAACCTAATAAACAAAAAAAATAAAATAATAAATCTTATAAAGTCTAAATAATAATTTAATAACCTAAAATATTCTAAATAAACAGGAGGGTCAGAATTTAAAAAAAACTTAACATTTCTAAAAACATGAAAACAGCTAAAGAATATTTATCTTTTTCACTATGAACAAATTGTTTTGACATCTTAATAGCTTTTACACATAAAAATAATGGCTTCCACACATAAAAATAACAGGAAAAATTGAGTAGAAACTGTCAAAAAGAAATTTTTTTTGAAATGAAAAACACTTCTCATTTCTTAAAACAAAAAAAAATTTTCTTGTTGGTTTCATTTCTAATTTCTAGTTGGTTTTATTTCTAATTTCTAGTTGGTTTCATTTCTAATTTCTAGTTGGTTTCATTAAACTTTATATATATTGGAGAGACTTTTTTTGTGACATTTTTATGCTTTCATTTAACACTTTTAAAGAAAGTGTTAAATTAATCTTATAAAGTAAAAAAATTGGAATAATTTTTTTAGTTTTCTTCAAATTAACAAAGAAAGGGGTTCTAATAAATATGAGGGTAAGAAGGAGGAGGGGGAGGGGAGAAGGAGTGTCAGAAAAAATTTAAATCTAATATAAAATCTACTACATTAATAATTATTAATGGAGAAAAATTTATTTTCTATTTTAGTTGTAAATTTCAATTGAAATTTCAAGTAGTTGCTAGTTTTAGCTGCATTGAATATGGATTACAAATAAAAAGCCAGTTTCACAACTATTTCAGAAGTTTAGCAGATTTTACTGAGTACTATTAATATCTAGTTGACATACGCCCCACAGCTCTGGAATACAAAATTTAGTTTGGCCTCAATATCCAAAGCGAGCATAACAAAGAAATTGGAAGAACTTATGGATGTTAATAAAAGATGTTTTGAAATAAAATCTCCAATGAATTTTATCATTTGATATCCTTGACACTAAAAAAATAAATTCTATGCAAAGGCTTTAAATAAAAAAAAAAAAAAAAAAAAAAAAAAAAAAAAAAAATATATATATATATATATATATATATATATATATATATATATATATATATATATATATATATATATATATATATATATACTAATAATGAATGTTTAAAACAAATGCATTTTGTGTAAATTGACAATGATGTTTTATATAAATTTTTTTAATGTAGTTATGTATTAAAAATTTATGATAATAATTTAAACTTATAAATTTTTTATGATAAGTTTAAACGTTAAAAACTATTTTTTTCTTTCTAAAAATCTTGGGGCTCTTGGTTGAGTAAAGGCTAGAGATGGTGTCTCGATAAAAATACTCATCTTGGGCAGATGTTAAATGCATCTGGCTGCAGTCTTGTAGAAGGCCTCCTAGGCAAAGACTTAAGGGGCAAACAGATTCTACCTATTGACCAGCCTTGCACCCCTTCATCTATTAGGCTGGCGCAGATATATTTTTAATACATTGTTTCCAGTTTAGGATGTTGAACGCTGGATCTTCTTGACTCGATGCATGGGTTTTGCTTGTGTCTCTGTTTTTATGACTAGCCAACTCATTGTATTATCGCCAAATGAGGGTACTGCTCCAAAACTCAGTTTTATGGTTCTGAGGCCGGCTGGTAGTCAGGTTTCCTGAACTCTGTGGTAGCTCTCAGAGAGGCTGATTCCATCAACAGCTGAAAAATATCAAAGTACTAACAGTGCCATGTTGCACATGAATGGTGTCCCTGTTTGTACTTTTGGTGTGCATTGCCAAGGCCACATTGGAGCCCTTTGTTATGGCTTAGGGTTTATTAATAGTAATGAGGCAATTGCGTGGGCTATTAAACAGTGTACTAAGTACTATTTATGATTTGAGTCAAGTTCTTTAACAAATTTTAAAATGAATAAAGTAACAAAAACTATAAGACACAAAAAACCGCAGTCATCACCAAATTCGCTAAACCTATCATTCACTAATATTTGTGGTCTTCAAAGTAACATTTCTTCTGTTGAGTCTTATCTCTTGCAAAGTTCACAAGACCTACTTGCTCTTTGTGAGACTAATTTGAGTTTAGCTGTCTCATCTTGTGATCTTAGTGTTGATGGCTATCTTCCTTTAATTCGTATAGACTCTAATAGTCACATGCTTGGCCTGGGCATTTACATTCGTAAGAATTCACCCATTTGTCAGGAAACTAGGTTTGAATCCACAGGCTACTCTTTTATGTGCTTTCGTTTAACACCACTTCACTCTATCACCTTTCTCTTTGTTCTATATCGCTCTCCTTCATCTCAAGACTCCACTCTTCTTGATGTTATTTCTGATCATATTGACCAAGCCCTCTCTCTTTATCCATCAGCCAATATTGTTGTTGTCGGTGACTATAATGTTCATCACACTGAATGGCTTGGCTCTAGTGTCAGTAACTATGCAGGCATTAAAGCCCACAACTTTTGCCTTTCTCAATTCCTAACTCAAATAGTCAACTTTCTAACTTGCTTTCTAAAATCATTTACCTTCTCCATTTGACTTATGTCTTGTTTCTGATCCTAGTCAGTGATCAATTTCTCCACATTCACCTTTAGGTACTTCTGATCATGGTTTGGTCTTTCTAAAACTATTATCTCATTCTTCTTTATCATCAGAATCCCTCTATCATCGTACATCTTACAGCTACCTTAAAGCTGTCTGGGACTCTTTCTGTGATTTTCTTTGTGATGGCCCTTGGGTAGAAATCTTTCGTTTTCCTGTTGAAAAATGTGCTTCGTACATAACTTCGTGGATTCAGGCTGGCATGGAATCCTTTATTCCCTCTCAACAATTCTAGGTCAAGCCTCACTTTTCTCTATGGTTTTCCTCACATTGTGCTGCTGCAATTGCCAATCGAAACCTTTACTTCCATATCTATCATCACAAAATTTAGGCTTTCCTGACTTCTGGAGAATCTTTAATAGTATCAATAATAAGGGTAAATCTGTAATTCCACCTCTTATGTATGGTTCAGACTTTGTCACCTCACCTAAAGACAAAGCTGAATTGTTTGCTAAGAACTTTTCATCAATATTATCTCTTGATTCCACTAGTTGAGTTCTACCTGATATAGGCGTCAAACAGTTTGATCAATAGCTCAACATCACTCCAGCTTCCGTATCTAAAATGATTTCCTGCTTAGATTCTTCTACAGCTTGCGGCCCGGACAACATACCTGTTATAGTCTTGCAGAAGTGTTCTCCGGAGCTGTCGTCTATCCTTTCAAAACTATTCAACAAGTATTTATCAGAGTCTTGTTTTCCAGCCTGCTAGAAAGCAGCATCTGTTATCCCTATTTTTAAAAATTCTGGAGAGAAATTTGTCTAACTACCATCCCATTAGTTTTCTTCTTATCATAAACAAGGTTTTTGAATCATTAATTAACAAACACTTAATCTCTCATCTTAAATCTAATAACTTACTTTCTGATAATCAATATGGATTTTGATCTTCTCGTTCTATGGCTGATTTGCTAACAGTATAACCGATAGGTTTTTTTGTGCATTAGATAAATGTGGAGAGGTTAAGGCCATCGCTCTTGAAAATTCTAAAGCGTTTGATAAAGTTTGGCTTGCTGGTCTTCTCCATAAGCTCTCTTCTTATGGTGTATCTGGAAACATCTTTAAGATTGAATCCTTCTTTTCCAATCGTAGTATAAAAGTTGTCCTTGATGGAAAGCATTCATTTTTGTGTTACTCATCATTTAATTAAGTCTCATCCTTTTTCTGTTACTGTTCCCAAGTGCTCCAAAAACTCTTATTCATCTAGTTTTTTTCCTCGAACATCAGTTCTTTGGAATTCACTTCCTTCATCTTGCTTTCCTGACTAATATAATTTGAAATCTTTTAAGTTGTCTGTCAATCGTTATCTTGCTCTACAATCTTCATCATTTCTTTTCCTGTAACTTCCAACACTAATCAGTGGTTGCTTGCAGCCTTGTTGGAAGTAAAAATGTTTTGAAAAAAAAAAAAAAATCTTGTTTTTTACAGCTATTTTTTTCAGTTTTTATCGCCATTACTAGCTCTCTATTTAAATTACCATTGGATTCTTTTATTTTTATTTAAAATCAATTTGTCTCTGCTAAGAGCTTCAACAGTTAATTTAATAGACTTTAGCATATTTTCCAATTCATGTAATAATTCAATATTATTATTTTCTAAATGTACATTTTAAATATCAAGATGCCATTTCGAGCAATGAATTCCAACAAGTTCTTATATCACTAGTTAAAGTTCATTTTCTAAAACTATTTTACTCTAAATATTATTTGGCATAAAAGATTTTTTAAAAAATTTAACAATTATACAAACACTTTTTATATTTTCTTCTACATTTCCAAAATTTTTTAATTCAACATGTCCGTATTCTTAATCGCCACTCTCGTCAGCATAATTTTCATCATGATCATCATCAATTGACCATCTTGACCATGGTCATTACCATCACCATATCACCATCAATATCATCTTCATCTTGCAAGACAGCAATGTTTTTCTTTTTATATAGTACATCAAAAACAGCTAAGTGTATAGTGTAGTTCAAACACAAATTATAGAGGCTAGGAGATTCTTGTCCAAGTTTTTTATTAAATCTGCACTGTCGCTGGCTGAACCAACTTTTAAGAACAAAGATTTTTAAAATTAATATTAAATGTGTTTAAATGTTGTTTTACTTTTTCAACTAATTGTAAAGCTGTACATGAGTTAAAAATTCTCACTAAACTCAGATTACACACTTCAGAGTCAATTCCATGCAAAT